GCTTTTGCTGTCAGTAGGATGATGATTGGTCTGTGGTGTACTCATAGCTACTGGTATTGGACGAGATAGTTTTCTTCTTCTCTTAACTGTAGTGGCACTGCTGGAGAGGAACAGCCCTGCTTGTTTCTTGTTTTTCCTGGTATTAGCAGTGTTCACAGTTTTACAGTTTTTGTGTGCCTGCTTCTTATTTGCAGAATGTCTCATATTGTCACTAACTGTTTGAACTGGCTTGGTGACAATATTCTCATGGCTCTGCCCACCACAAGTCCTCCTCCTACTCTCTGCTTTAGAGGAACTTGTTACTGATAATGGCAACTGTCTTGGTCGAGGTCTTGGTGTCTTTGGATTATCATTTTCTAAGAGTTTAGTGTTTAGCTACAGCCTGCAAAATATTTGCACCGACCTTTTTGGGGCGGGTAATTTTGATCTTTTCTAGGACTCAGCAATGCTTTCAGCAATGATGCACATCTGTCCATGCCCTGCTGAGTTGATATTATCTTGAAAGAAGTATTAGCTTTTGATTACATGATCTGGCAGTAGCTTAGCCTTACCAATCCCTCAGTGTCCTTGCTGTTTGAATACAAGGAAAACCCCGCCATTTTAATAGGTGTGGACTGTGGTTCATATTCATAATAAAAATAATAATTGTAAATCTGCATTTCACTAAGTTGAAGTTCACTGTAAGCTAACCAAAATCTAACAAAATTTGTTATAATTATAATTTAAGCAACTAAAAAGCATTAAAAATAGTTCTTAAATATTCATTCTAAACATTATCTGATGCTTGCTTGTAATAACCTAAATTGTGATAAAACAATCATTAATATGCTGTAATTACTGAAAAAGGGAAAAGCATAACAATAATGCCAAACAGAGCGTTTTTCTAGCCCAAATTAAACCTTTAAAACCTAAAGGCAGGTTTACAATATTACACTAGTTTTGACATTACATTTATGTTGATGCTGCAATAGATTTTGGTTCTACTCTAGCGTATAAAGTATGCATCAAAAGGTCAAATCACCCATGCTTTGGAATAAAAATTGACAGTAGCCTCATATTGTAAATCAGTCTTTGGAACATTATAAATGCTGCCTACTTCTAAATCTAAGTTTTATAAAATTAATGCTGACATCACAATTATGATAAACAAACTGACCTTTGATTTGACTGTTAACAATTTGCTGTATTTTATCAGCATCTGACTTATCAGCAAAAGGTATTGACTGAAGCTTTGACAAAAATTGTCTTTTTGCATCTTTATTCTTTTCTTCCCAGGTAAGTATCATTTGCATGAAGACTTTCCAGTCTCTCCAGTCCTTATCTGAGCTGGTTCCCATAAATTCACTATAAACAGCTTTGGCTCTTTCAGCTGATAGCTCAGTCAATTTTTCTGATACAATAGCAGCATCTTCTGCTGAGAAGAAATCTACAAAAAATAATTAAATTTTATAGATACTGGCCCACCTCCATTAAGTATTTTCTTTTCAGAAATTTCATGCTAAACAACAAACAAAAATGTAAACTGAGAAACAAGTATTACTTAAATTTACCTTTGTCAATATAGAGCTAAATATTTTAATCCTTTCAACATCTTTATTGGACATGGCAGCAGAACATCTTTCGCAATCATCTTTAAAAGGAAGAGCATGGCGTTCCATGTGAAGCTTACAGGAACCTTGATGCTGGTTTGTAGCACACATTATTGCAAAGTTATATAATATATCACTTTCATTCATTATCTCATGACAATTCTTAACGATATTCTCACAGACTTCAAGCAACAGCTCTTTATCAAGATCAGGAAAACGAAACTCAATGATATCCCCAAGATAAACAAGCTCAAAAAGTGGATCATCTGAATGAAAACAAAACCGTGTCACATTAATGTGAGGGGTCCTGGATACATCCAGCTGAGCTTTGGGATATGACCTCAAAAAATTGGCAGTGAAAGAGACTTTGAAATGTGACAATGAAATATTCATGTCATGGACCAAATGAAGTGAAGTAGGACTGCACTGCAGGAGGGGAAGATGATTGCAAACATTGGGAATATAATAGCCCTGTTGATCAATGCTAACTTGACCTGGTAAAATCTTGGTAGCCATACGTAAGGATTCAAGAAATGCCATGAAAGTGGCTGCATTCTCATCCGGCTTTTCATTAAAAATGGCTTCTGCTGTAGCCTTACTAACAAAGCCATGACTAGTAACAACTGAGTCACCAGAAGAATAATAGAACAGCTTATCTAGCTTATTCAAAAATGAAATGGGCTGCAAGATGATTAAATTAGAAGAGGGGTCAATCAAACTGACATCAATGATGCTCCCAAACGAAGTGAAGAAACGACAAAACTCTTGAAACTTCTCATCATCCATATTGAGCTCTTTTGATAATTCTTGTAATTCATCTTTCATAATGTAAAGCTGATCTTTCTCATAAAAAAAACTTCGAAGAAACATGAAAGAGAGCGGAACCTTTTTAACATGATCATCCAGACCATCTTTTATTGGACTCGCCACGCTTGCGTAGGCGGGTACTACGCAGTTGGGTTGTCATTCTGTCATTCTGTCCACACACTTTAATTGATTTGTAAAAAAAATATCTTTTTGTCTGAGCAGTCTAGAGCTCTATTTCTTCTTCTAGCAACAGATAAAGTTGCTTTCTTTCATCTAGTTATGCTCTTGTAGCATCCCGTGGCACCAAAAGCTGTGAACTGCTAAACCAGGGGACCTCTCTCCAGGTGAGAGCTCGTGTTTCACTCTACAGGGCCGAGATTTGCTTCAGAGGTAGAAAATCCCATCTAACGAAAAAGAAAAAGAACGATTTTGTCCTAACTTCGTTGTTTGTGAGTTACAGTTGCTCAAAGTTTGTGATTTAGCCTCTTTGAGAATTTTTCAGGCGGCACTGGGGAAAGCAGGAGCAACCAAACTCTCTCAGTCTCTTTTAAATATCTAGAAAAATTTTCTGTGCCAACTCTTTCTTGGAATAGAGCTTCAGATGCTAAAATAAATTTCAGCTTTTCTTCTTTCTCCTACCCATGTGCCATGATTTAGTTAGTTATTGACCACACCCATAGCTTATTTTAATTATCATTATAACTATGCAGTCAATTATAATATTTTTTTTTCAAATTGCTTAAAATATCACAGTACAAGTAATACATATCACTCAGGTGAATCTCAGCAGGCGAGTCCACGCACCATGGTGCTTCATTCTCTTTTGTAAAAGGTGATGCAAAGGATCAATATCTTCATTGTGAAAAACTTGAAATTTTTCCATATCTATAAGATCTTGGAGATCTAATTGCTTGGAAACAGTATTAACAACATCTTTTAACTTTTTCATTTTTCCTTCAAGATTTGTCAATCCATTGTAGCTAGCAATTATGCTGCAAATTTTTCTGCGGTTTCCATTTTTCATTGAAGCAAATTTAGCAAAACGAATAAAATAACGAATACGTGATCTCCACCTCATTATGAGCTCCCTGTCATTACGTGACTTGTCGTATCGATTCTCTGGAATATCAGGAACTTCATAAAGATGATCAACATCACGTAGCAGATCAAGAAACATCCAAACATGACTATTGTAGAGATGACCGGCAAGATGTGGGAGAACGTAAGTTGGTATCTTGTTAAGACCAAGATCCCAAACATTAATGAGAGCTAATCCATTTGTATAACTTTGATCCCATTCAGTAAATTCATGTTGTCGCTTCTTAAGATAATGCAGGTCTTCCATAATAGTTGTAAAGTGATTGTTCAGATCTTGATTGGAGAATCCAGAAAATTTGCCTGATGGTAGCACCCGAATCACCTCAATTCTTTTGGCAGTGGATGACCGAGCAATATCTTCTACTCCTGCATACATCACTGATGAATATCCTTTGTTTTCTTGTAGTTGAGGCATAAACACAATCTTATTCTGAAGCAAATTTCGAGCAGCAAGCATGTCACAAAACCCAATACCGTCTTCTTCTTTTAAATCTAAAGCTGCTTTTAAGAGCTTCTTTAATGCTGTAGTTTTCTTGCTGCTTGGTAGCCCACAATTGATCAATAGCATGGGAGTCACCTTCACTTTTATGGTAGAATCTAACATTTTATCCTTCAACCAATTTGGATATACATCAAATAGCTTATCACCTATAAAAATTATACTGATTATCATTGTGTGTAGTCAGTAATGGAGCTAATGCAGCAATTAAATCAGTCTCAAGATAGGATTCGTGCATGCATTAAATTGGTTTATACAGTTTAAGTTTGAAATTTTCAAGGTGGATTATTTTTGTGGTCTAAAAATTAAGCACACAAATTTTTCACAAGAACACCTCTAAAAATTTTACACTATGAATAATAACTCAAATTACAATAATGATCAGGTGACATTACTATAATTATAAACTTTCAAAAAATAGTAGCATCAAACTAACATCAGTTATTATGATAAAAGAGCTACTCATGCATGCATCAAGTGCTGCCAATAAAATTAAATATGCATGCCAAGTTGTCACCGGAACACTACGATGCAAGCAGCAAGCTACCTACTGAACCCTACCTATGAAGCCAGTAATGAGTACACAGCCAAGAGAATCATGAATGATATCAGTCATGACCTGGCCTAATGCATTCTGAATCGTGGATTTTACTGAGCTGAGCAGCTAAGCCTATAGCCTTATGATTGCTGCCACTAACTCTTGGCTGAGTATGCTAGGCTAGATTCTGTATCAAATCAGATTATAAGCCCACCTGACGATCACATTATGAGGAGATGAACAATAACTTACTTTCTGTGGAGGGTTGAGGTTCACTGTAGTGTCGCTTTTTTTCATTGACGGGCGAATCTTTTCCGGGGCAACACTCATGATACGAATCTCCCGTCTAAAAATTATTATTATAGATTATGATGAATAAGCTTAAATGCTAATTACATTTTTATCTACATGTTTTGATTCCTCTTGTGAGCTCTCGACATAGAAAGCCTCATCATCAGCACGCTCCTTGTTTGAGGCGGACATTTTAATTCCGGAATTGCATAACGCTCAGTAGGCCCCTCCTACCTTGTACCCGCCCCTCTTTGGCCATATTAATTTGCCCATAAAAATAGAATCGCTCTGTTGTAGATCTATCTCTTTCTTCTTTAAAAATGAGTGTCTCTTCAGAGGATGTCACCCGATTGCAATTGTTTGATGACATGATGTCAAAGTTTGGTGAGTTCTGTACCTTCCTTTATTCTATTTTATCATGCTGTTGTTGATCCTTTTAGAAAATGAGGAGAGCCCTCCATTTGTTGGCTATGATCCATCTCATCCAACTATCTTTCTAACATTATTCAAGTGGTATGATGATCCTGAGAAAGCTGCTGAACAACTCATTGAATTGTATCCTCATGACCTCCCTTAATCCATAGATATATATATATTTATGCTTTATCCCATTCTCCCACAGCCCCAACCCTGATGCCCCATTACATTAGTAGCACACTTATAGCACAGTGTTTACCATTGATGATCTTATAGGTACAAAATGTATTGCAGGTGTGTGTGTGTGTGGTGTATTAGTGTATAGATAAATATGCACAAACAACCTTAAGAAAGGGACGGACAGATGGTTCAGGTGTTCATAAAAATGATACACAAATGTTTAGAATTGCATTTGAGCACTCACTGCTACTGCTCGTACCATCAACCATCTCAGATTACTAATTAGTGTGATGTGTATCATAATACTTTCTGCTTGCATGCTCCTCTTACTCTCTCTCCCTCTCTCTTTGTCCAGCCTATTGTTTGCTTTATTGGTCCTACATTAATCAATGCCTTACCACCCTCTCCTAATATGGGGTCTATTATACCTCAGGCAGTTTAATCTCACTCTTAGATATATGTA